CTTTTCAATTTTTTTCAGAAGCTTTGAGAAAGGGGTCTCTTTAGAACAGGGCCTCAAGACTACAATACATTGATGTGATTAAAAGTCATCTTGGCATGGCACGATGGTTAAGAGCTGGCTTGGGACGCCAGAGGGCCCCGGTTCGGATCCCACATATGAGGGCCAGTGACACTGCCCTCTATAGCTAAGATGCTGAACAACAGCTCAACCTGGAGCTGGGCTGCCCTGAGTCACAGCGACGGCATAGGCTGCAGCCCCTGTGGCAGTGGGTTGCCATGGGCTACCGTGTGTAGCCAGCGGCCAGCGTGAGCGGCCAGCAGCCGCAGTGAGCAGCCGTCCAGAAGCCAGCGACTGATCTGCCTCGCCGGGAAAGAGCGCAATGATGGTGCCAACTTGGGCCAGTGAAGCAACGTCCTCCACAACTAGACTGACGAACAAAAGGACAGCAACTTGTCTGTTCCTCTTCCCCCATTCCCCAATATAAAATTAAAATCTTAAAAAAAAAAAAAAAGAAAGGCATCTTGGAACTGCAGTGTTGCCATTTTGTCAATTTACTAAGTAAACTAAAACAGGATTTCAAAAAATCTGTTTTACAAGAAATGATGTTCATGTAAAAATGTCTTGGACTATATGTATATTTATATAATACAAATAGTAATAGCAGCAAATACTGATATAGCACTTATTATGAGCAAAGCATTGTTCTACAACATGCTTTCCATATATTGACTCATTTAATCGAACAACCATAATTCTAGGTTGAGGGAAACACACAAAAGATACAAGTGTGTTTTGAAAAAAGATGCGAAGAAAACCTCATCCACTTGTCACATGTCCAGGTAGCCAGAACTAGGCATTTTAGGGCATGTGACCTAGTTACCAATGGCTGCTTCAGATTTCTACAGGTCAGCTAAGGGTTGGGATTCAATTAGACCTCCTGAATTCCATAGTCACCTGCTCATATTTTGAAACACTGCTTATACCAATGTGAAGCTCTCATCCAATGCTAACCATGCAGGACAACAGGGCTGGGATCAAGTATAATTGAGTTCCATGTGTTCCTACCCATGGTGGTTGTTCCTGATCTAGTTTCAACATGTATAGTTCCCATCAGGAGGCCTGAGTGGTTTCATCAGTTGCCCACCAATTTTCAGTCAGGAAAAGTAACAGCATTATGTACAAGGAAAAATAATAGCTTGAGTATTCTTTTTTTAGATAACTAAATTGAGAAAAAGAAAAGCAGTAATTTATGCCCTACTTTATGGCAGGCATTGCATAGGTGCCTTAAATATATTAGTTTTAATTTTTGCAATAACCTGAAAAGTAGGTGACATTTTAATGTCAAAGATGAAGAACCTGTTAATCATAAAGAATAACTGCTAAAGCATCCAGGGTAGAATGAAAGATGTCCTTTTGTGGAATGGGGTTGAAGGTGTAAATGTTCTATTTTTGCTCCCAGAGCTTAACAGAGCAATGAGTGCACAGTAGGACTCAATACTGCTTGATCAATGGTAAAACTGACAATCTATCAAATATAGAACTGCCTCTCTGCATTAAGAGTTCTGAGTGAAGGAACCACATCATAATTCAAATTTATCAATTACTTGATAGAAGACATAATTTACTTGTGTTCAAGAAAACGCTAGATTTTTTTGTTTCACTAATAGCCTAAGGAAGTCACCTAAATAATGAATATAGTACATTTTCAGAGAAGAAGCCATTTTTTAAAGAGGGTGTGGGTCAGAGTGATTAGAGAACCTTCATATGTAACTATTCAGGGAGCATGAAACAGTGTGATACACAGAAGATTTGGAAAACACATCTGTAAAAGTAATTTCGTGTCTGTTTACAAAAAATATCTGCTTTCACTTGCTTAAGGAGTAGCAAAAGTACATAACAGATATATTCATTTCTGAATGTTTAACACAAAATGTCATTTTCCTAAAAAGCCAGTTTTCCAAAATATGATCTGCTGATAATCTGCAATGATTTTTATCAAGATATATCTAACAGTATCCAGTATCCAAAGTCTAATAACATCAGCAGCTACAACTTTTGTCCATGTTCTTGTATATTTGTATTTACGATGAAAAGTAAGAAAAAGACATTGGAGAAAACTGTATATTAAGAAACAAAGTCCTACAGGAGGGGCATCCTATAGTAAAACAATATTCAAATGTGAGGAGGATTTAAAAAAAAATCCTCTCTATTCCAAATAAAATAGTTTGAAAATACAAAAATATATAAACTCAGAATTTCTTAGGAAGCTGTCATACAAACAGAGCCAATTCTACCAAAAGAGCAACACTACATGAATTATTAAAGATGGGCATGAAAAAGAAATCATAGGGAAGTGGACAGAACAAGGCAATGCAGAAAAGAGATCTCACTTACAGAATGTAATATAGAAACAGAAACCATTCATGGAATACACTATCAAGACACTTTCAAGGAGAGGTAAGATCACAAGAAAAGCCTACGGCAAATGGTCCCATTGAAGCAACAGAATTTGAAGCTTAAGCCGTAAGAGGAATTGGTGAATTGAAAACTAGGGAGTAAAGAGAGAAGCACTGAGGAAGAGGATGAAAAGTTAAATAAGGTTTCGTACAAGAGTACTGAAGTAGTTATCATCAGACAGAGTCAATAGCTGTTGTGTCTTGTGTAGTGGACAACACAACTTGTGTCTTTTGTAGTAGAACAAAATTAAAATGTACACAACAAATCCATGCAGGGTTTCTACTTCCTGGAGCTTCCCTTCTTGTGGGGGGATGCAAGCTATACACTCTTGAACAAGTAAGGAACAGATAAGTAAATGAGATTCTTTCACATATGCTAAGTGTGGTAAAAAAAGGGCAGAAAGATTACAGAGTATGACTATTCACAAGCTGCTCCTCACTTTCCATTTTGCTATATAATGTTTAACAAAGCTGACAAAACTCACGGGAATAAAAAGGAGAGGAAGATGACAAAAGGGTAATCTCTCGTTTTCCCCTCACTACACTCTCTCCGCCATATCCCATCCTAGTTTTAGGCCAGTGTCCTCAGGGGAAACTAGCCTATAAGGAATGGTTAGTAAGACCGATAAGCAAAGGCTGGAAGAATTGGATTGTTTACCTGTGCTCAAGAAGAAAAAAAAGTAACAATTTTGAATGCAATTAGAGTTCTCACAATAAGGTTTACTAGGTACTCTATGTAAGGTGAGGACTCTCTAAGAGAATGATAGCCTATACTCACACAGTGAAAGGATTCAGGCCAGAGGAAAATCAGCAAGCACTGTAATTAGTAGGAACCTGTTTTCAGCGCTTTGCTAATACAGTGGAAAATGCTGAAAAAAATTGATGGCTCTCTAGAAAGCGCTGAGAAAACAGAATCAAACTTAAACATACACACACATCAGTGTACAACCAAACACCAGACTATTTTATAAACAATCCATGCTGAAGGATTTCAGAGAAGATCAGATGCAAAAAGGAATTCCTGGGTGGGTATGTGAAGAGTGGAGACATTCAGGAAAGAAGAAATTTGAGGGAGGGAGAAGGCAAAGAGATGGGAATGATGTAAAACAACAACAAAAAAAAACCCAACAATAACTTTTTTTCTTTTCTTATGAGAATACCCATGAAAACAAAGGCAGGATCTTGACAAAAGAGCCCAGGATGGTGTCCTGAGGGGACTGCATCTGTCCAGGTAACCAAAACAGAATGGATCTGGGGATCAAGAAACTGAAAGAATGGAGTAGATGATCATTAGGTTCTAATAACTGTGTATGAAAGATTCTGGAGGCTGAGGATTTTGACTGATGGGTAGAGGCAGAGGATGGAGGATGAAAACACAATGGGTCTAGATCTCCCAAACCTTCTCATGCTGAGACCGGATTGCTGAGCTCCTGGTCCTCACTAGCTGCTCTGAGTGATCAGAGTAAAGAAATAGCTACTATGATCTGCTGGGAGAAGGGCTATTCAAAAGGAAATGCAAGGTACGCATCCTGGACCCCCTTTTAAAAATCCAAGTATCAGAATGAGCTGATTCATTTTAAAATAATATTCTTCACAAGAATGCAAATTATTTTATTGTGACATGAAGCTTCTCCTGGGGTTCTAGGTGACCTCTTCATGGGTCCTGAGTTAGCTGATAGTGGTTAGTCCATATCTACCTCACTCATTTTGTAAACCTAAACAAGAAAATCACTGAATTTTAAGAAACACTGCTTTACAAAGGAAACTATGGAAATGACCCTGATTCTTGGTATTATGAATATCTGGACTAAAACCCAGACTATCATGCATTCATTTTCAGGGTCTACAGACACCACTTGAATATAAAGGGGGAGGAAATGGTATAAGGCTGCATGGAGACAGTATTCATGTGTTGGCCAGTCACACCCTATCGCAAAGAAGGGGGAGAAATTATGCATCAGCTAGAGTTAAAATATATCAGCTTGAATTTTGGGAGACATGGCAAGATTAAAACATTTCTCCATTGAATAGAGTGAGGACTCTACATGCTGTTTGTTTTACTGCTGCCATAATACTCTCACTTCCTAAATTCAGAAATGTATCACTTAAGATAATTTGCAGGCAGAGTGAGTGGTGGGGACTTTCTGTCAGTAGAAAGGTCAAATAATTTTTCCACAATGCACTGCAATTTTTAAGCTTTACAATTTTACCATCGGTGACCCACGGGAAAGCCTATTATACCATTACGCCCAGGAATTATGTTGTGAGTTAATGGAATGTGAACAATGAGGTACCAGCCTTGTGTGCTGACCCCCACTGCTTTTTCTGAAATACAACATCTTCATGAGTTTTGTTTTTTTAAATTTTTTTTCTCAGTAAATGTGGGGAAATGTAGCCATTGAAAAAGCACGAACCCGAATCTTATAACGAGGCATTCTTTAACTGGGTGGATTCTAGACATAAATGCAAGGCTCTTCTAAGGACGATAGCATGCAACAAAGATTTAAAGTAAAGCAAAGAAAGTAAGAAAAAAAGTTGACTAACCTAACCCACCTGAGCTCGGCTCACAGGGGTCGATGTCCTCGTCATCGCTGGGACACTCTGCTGAGGCCACTAGGATGTCATCTGTGGTCTGTGAAAGAATCACATTCAATAGATTACTTTAAAAGGACCTAACAGAGCATCTCACCTTTGTCTCATTGACAAGTGAAAGACCATCTGTGTTTACTTGACAGGCTGTGAAACCAAATTCAGTATTTCCCTTCCCAAGGATACAGAGTTTACATTATTTCCACTTCGTTTAGATCTCTCTGGAAGCATTTGCCTATTTGTGAAAACTTGGTGATAGCTTATTTTACAGGAGAACATGGAAATGGTGGTAGTCAACTTGTAGATATCCATCTATTCAACTGCACGGAGAAGCTGCATATCATGTCACACAGGCTTAAAACAACCTGGCAGAGACAAATTATTTGAAATTTATTAGAGCCCTGGAGTGCTACATCTATGCATCAATAGGTTTCGCGCAGTACTTGTGCATGGCTTCCTGAAAGCAGGATAGCTATAACCTTTTGTATTCATGACCAGGTAGAGTTTGATGAATCTGCAATATAATTTGTCATTATTAGGAAACACTGATTAAGTAGAGAATATCTACCACTGATGCGTAAAAGGAAGCAAATGGAGTCCATTTAAGGTATTTTAAAAATTTGTATTGAGCTTTCACCCTCAGTTCTCATTTTTGCAACATTTAGGAAGCAGGTATGGTGTCAGCATTGTTCTTTTCATCATTAAGGCTTCATAATAATGGAAAAACATATTTCGGGGGGTGGTATTTTACAGTAAATAGGAAAGAGGTGACAGTTTTCTCTGTGACATTCTAGTTGCTTCATTGCATTTTCAGCCAAAAAAGATAACCATCACTGTAATAAAAAGCAGAGTGCATAAATCCTAGCAGTTAGTCACATAATCAACACATTTACAAGCACCAAAGGTTATTTTTTACTGCCACTTACAAGCAACAGTGAACTTAGCATAGTTATTGCACGGAAACTGCAAAGGCTTGCATCAGATTTGGCTAATGCTAAGGTAACACAGAGAGAATTCAAGGTACAAGAAGGAGAATATCTCATTACATCTGCCAAGGATTAAGGGGACTAAAATTGTTTAGACAATACACAGAACTGCAACATTGAAGAAATCCGTATTTTAAAATGGAATTAAAATATAGGTTGTAACTATGTATGGTGATGCATGTTAACTAGAGACTTATTGGAGTGATTGGTTCACAGCGTGTGTGTGTGTATACAGGGGTTGCCAAAAAATGTATACGCATGACTTATAGTCACCTTTTGTTATTGGTATATATTGAGTATTACAATTTTAATACAAATTTTTCCTTTTTAAAATGTATACATTTTTTGGCACACTCTGTACACACACACACATATATAATCATTATGTTGTACACCTGAAACTGATATGTTATACGTCAATTACACCTTAATAAAAATTTAAAAAAATATATAGGTCCTACATTAAAGAAAAAGCAGAAATATGATATGACTTGCTTTCAGTCAGGAAGTGCCAAATACATCCAGAGATTAAAGTAAAAATAAACGTTAAGAAAATCGTGCTATTTTGAAAAATGGAGACAAGGGATGATGCACTTTTGTGATAAAAATTAGGCTTAAAAATCAAGTGCAGGGTTTTTAATTTCTGAAGAATAATTTGTTCAGAGGCTAATGCTTCACAACATAATTTTCAACAAACACAAGCATTTAAATAGAATTTTGAGGTGGTCTCACATTATTCTGCTCTTAATTCCTTTGAGACAATTAGGTGACTAGATTCATTATTTTGCTGCTGTTATTTTAAAAGACGAAGCTCAAAAGTACCAGTTTTCCTGGAATTGTAAGTGTTCAGTCAGTGATAACTACCAGCCATTGGTATGACAGTCACGCAGGTATCTTTCATTAAAGGGAGCTTCAGAAGACAAAAACCTATCCTCCTTTTGGCATAGCACAAGCAGGATAACGTCCAACCTGACTTGATAATAACAAGCTATTGGATTATGAGGTCTTGCAGGCCAATTGTTCTGTTTCGCCCCAGAGCAGATCATCTGCTTTCTTTCAGAGCCAACTTCGAGGGGGAAGCTACTTTCTTCTCAACCAGAGTGGATACTCTTTAAAATTAATTTCAGCGTTACAAGAGAATTTCTCCTTTTCCTTGAGGAATTTTAACTATATTGGAACCAGTATATGGTTGTTGTTGTTTTGATGTTGATAGAAGGAAGGGGATGTGAATAAATTCTTTCATCCACTGCTTCTCGTCCCAGCAGTGACATTGTCCCCTTCCTCCTCCTCCACCTGGGGGACATTTGGAAATGTCTGGAGTCATTCCAGGTTGACACAATTGGGAAGAGGAGGGCTGGAGGGGGAGGGGTGTGTTGGCTTCTCCTGGCATCTAATGGGTAGGGACCAGGGATGATGCCAAACATCCTAAAATGCACAGCACAGCCCTCACACAACAAAAATTATCTGAACCAAAATGCCAATAGTGCAGAAGTTGAGAAACCCTGCTTTAAAGATTTAAAAAAAACATTCTGTGCCTTATTTTTCTCATCTGAAAAACTGGAGCGCATAATAGTACGTATTGTTATAAATTAATACCCCCCAAATACCTAGAATAGGATTGCATTGTAAATGCTTGCAAAAGTTGCAATATTATCAACATTGTTGTTATTATTCCACGAATGTAGCAGCAATTTAATATTTTCTGCACTACACATAAATAATAAAATTTTAGATATTAAACCAGAAGTTGTACATGTGAATTATTCTCTACTTAAGATCTCTTGTTAACATTTATATAAAAATACTGTAGCTATATTGGTACTTTGTTGAACTAAGCTTCCATCTGTTACTGCCTAGGTTCAAATTCTGAATTAGAAGTCAAACATCAAGAATACATAATAAAGGTTGCTTCTTAAAAGAAATTCGTGGACTGAAAATGTGTGACTCAGTGTATAATGTTTCCTGCAGACTAAATTATTTAGGCCATACAAGTTAAATTTCATTTTAAAAATTGATCTACTTCCCACATTCAACAGCCTTTTGGAACAATTCCACAGCAAACAAAAAGTGCTAGAATGTTCTCAGTGTTATTCACAAAACACAGTGTTATTCACAAAACACAGTACCTAGGATAACAAAACATGTCATCCACTAAATAGCACCTCCTATAGCCCTTTACAGTAGAAAAACATTGTACAAATATGACCTTGTTGTAAAACTATAATTTAGTTTTTGAGGCATATTTCCTGGTATAATGAATATACAATTTTGTTTTTCATATTTTCTATTACAAATTAAAAACCAGTAATAAAATAATCTTGTGAATATTCTATCTCAAATCAGTAGATGCACTGGCACACATCATCCCTGTACGAAAAATCAGGAAGTGGCTCAAGTATAGGGAACAAAAACATTAAATTTCATTTTGGAGGTTGAATTAAACAAACAATTTTCTAGCCCAAGCTGTGTAATTTAAATTTAACTCACTGTATTTGGAACTGCCTCTCTATGACATGCTGTTGAGAGCTGTAGAAAGAAACTCCAATAAGTCACAGTAATCAATGCTATTCTGCAGTATACTTTTCCCTGATGCTTATAATCTTTTTTTCACAAAGAGACTACCTGGTAAAAGAGACAGAATAGTGGTCAAGCAAAAGCATTAGCTTTACATAACCATCCATTTAGCTAAGTGTCCCTAACTGGGCATTTAGCCACTCAGAGGTCAAAATGCCATGCTGACCTTCCCTAATTCAGAGTGGCCTGTACATTCACATGACAAGCATCTGTTCCTGCTCAAAATGTCCTCTAAAAATGTGGAGGTCTTCCTAGCTTTAGGGAAAAAAAGGACTTGAACAGAATTCAAGAAATAAAAGCACTAAAACTTAATCCATCATGTTCAATGGGTAAACACCAACATAGGGCAGAAAAATGCAATCCGGATGGGGAAGAAAGAATATTCTTAATGTCCAGTAAGAAGTCAGATCAGTCAGATGGGTACTAGATGTATCGGGGTGATCACTTTGTAAGGTATAAAAATGTCTAATCACTAGTGTACACCTGACACTAATATAATATTGTATGTCAACTGTAATTAAAAAAAATAAAACTTATACCAATTTATTTAATATCCAGGGCTATTAGGAAGGGCCCATTTGGTGGGTTAGACAGTAGAGAAAAATTGATGTTTTTGCTTTTTTTTCTCACTTGTAGGGAGTCTTCCCCTCTCCCACCTTTAATGGTGGAATTTGCTGCACATTTTCTTGCTGTCACTTTTGGAAATACAGCACAATTGAATGTCAGTATGGAGAAAAGATGTGATGAGATGATACATAAACTTAGTCTGAACTATCACATCTCTGATAAGAACAGCATTCTGAGACTTTATTCCTCATGACAGGCAGCTTTGCTGAAGACTGATACACTGATGAAAACACCTACAAAGCTCTACTAGGACAAATCTGCTTTGTGAGGAAAAGAGCAAAGGATGTCCACTGTGAATGTGATGCCCCAAGAAACCCTTGATTTACTCTAAAATTATGATTGAAACTTTGTTTCTAAACAGCAATAATCTAACTGGCTACACCTCTCAAGACAAAGTAAAAAAAAAAAAAAAGAAAAGTTGGTCTCATGCAATGGTGCTCACTTGTATATTATGTAGCCCAATCTGAAGGACATTTAGAGTGAAGTGATTCAGACAACTGATGGGCGGAGTATGAGGCTAGCTGAGATGTGGTATGTTTGGCTAATTGGTGGATGCTTGTTCTTGCTGATACTTTTGTCTAAGCGAAGCTGCTCTGGAAGAGAGAGAACATTTATATCTAGCTTTTAGGATTGACTCTAATAGTCTTTCCAGAGAATTTTATTGCTATGTGTCTTTCCCTGGGTGGGGTGGTGGGGGAAGTGGAGGGAAGCCAGGATTTAGAAATAGTATTACAAATCCTCCACGCAAGGTTTGACCCACTGCACAGATAATCTATGGGGCAAGAAATTTCTAGGAGGTAGGGGAAGTCACAATTTTCGCCAAGAGGAAAAACTGAAGAAAACCCAATTGTAGTAC